TTTCTTCCAAATTTAGTTCAAGTTCGAAAATGAGGAATATCGGTCCACTTCTTTTGGTACTTTCCCCACAAAATGGTGAAAATTGCACAAACAAATTAATTTTATTTTAATTTATATTTAATCACTTTCTGCATCGATTTATGCATGTCCGTCCGTCCGTCCGTCCGTCCGTACAGGTCGCATTTATGATCCGATTTGGATGAAATTTGGCACAGCTCATTTGTTTGGCCCAAGGACGAACCCTATTGAAATTGGGAAAAATCGGTTCAGATTTAGATATAGCTCCCATATATATTTTTGCCCGATTTACGGACTTTAGACCCTGAAAATCTTTCGATTTGCACGAAATTTGGCATAGCGTACTGAATTGAGCCACGAAAGATGTGTGCCAAGTTTCGTGAAAATCGGTTCAGATTTATATATAGCTCCCATATATAATTTCGCCCGATTTACGGACTTTAGACCCTGAAAATCTTTCGATTTGCACGAAATTTGGCATAGCGTACTGAATTGAGCCACGAAAGATGTGTGCCAAGTTTCGTAAAAATCGGTTCAGATTTAGATATAGCTCCCATATATAGTTTCGGCCGATTTTTGGTAAATGGCGTACCAAAGTCCCTATATATCTTTCGATTTGCACGAAATTTGGCATAGCGCACTGAATTAAGTCTAGAATGATGTGTGCAAAGTTTCGTGAAAATCGGTTCAGATTTAGATATAGCTCCCGTATATATCTTCCTCCGATTTAAGGTAAATGGTGTACCAAAGTCCTTATATATCTTTCAATTTGCATGAAATTTGGCATAACGTACTGAATTGAGGCTAGAATGATGTCTGCCCAGTTTCGCGAAAATCGGTCCAGATTTAGATATAGCTCCCATATATAGTTTCGTCCGATTTCATCTTAATGGTGCCCCAAAGTCCCTATATAGCTTTCGATTTGCAGGAAATTTGGCATAACGTACTGAATTGAGCCTAGAATGATGTCTGCCCAGTTTCGAGAAAATCGGCCCAGATTCAGATATAGTTTCGTCCGATTTCATGTAAATGGTGCACCAAAGTCCCTATATATCCTTCGATATATTTGGATAGAGCTTCCATATATATTTTCGCCCGATTTTAAGTAAATTGGACATCAAACTCTTCATGCTAGTCAGGTTGACATCAAATTTTGCACAACGTACAAAATTGAGCATAGAATTACGTAGTTGCGTTTTCTAGAAGTACAGACATAGCCCAACGGATGACCCATTTATATTTGTTTGAAGTCGATTTACATACTTTATGGATAGATCTACGTAGATTCACATTTAGATAAATATCACATATTTTATTTCATCCAATTTCATGTTAATAGTCCTGTTTAATATATCCATAGTGGTGAAGGGTATCATATAGTCGGCCCCGTCCGACTTTACTACTTTCCTTACTGGTTAATTATGGCAGCATACATTTGTTGCTCGTGACCCTGTATGAAAAAATATGCCTCACAATGGAGAAGAACTTATACTACAATATTTCTCCAATCTTCAAGTCTATATTTATTTCATTCCGGCTCTGACTATATGGAAATGTATGGAAAAGAATTAATCCATATTTCATCATATTTTGAAACAAATCCGATTTGTTAATTATACTCAAATTAAGCTATAAAAAGAGAAACTTATTTCAAAATCTATCAATTGATTAAAAAAAATATTATAAACAAAAAAAAAATAAATAAAAGAATTATTTCTCATTCTTCGCATTGAATAAGAAATTTTAAAAATATGTTTCACAACAGTATTATAAAATAATTATGCATTTTTATTTCGTTCAAATTCATAACTAAGGAAAGATTGGAAGTTATACCTCAAAAAAATTAAATAAATAACAATAATTAAAATAAAAATAGGAGCGGCGCTAAATCTGTTGCGTATAAGCTAAGTAAATAAATAAACAATTTATATTTTGGTTTTATTTTTTTTATTTTAAAATTGTTTTGCTTTTCTTTAAATATCTTCTTTACAAAATTTCCAGTTTTTTTATTTTTAAAACTTTGGTTTTTTCAATCAATTACCATGGCAATTAACAATAACAAAATTATGTTAAATAGCGCAGTTATTTATAAAACACTATATTAGGGTGTAACTGAGAATTTGTTTTATAAAAAATTACCTCACCCGAAGTACTGGGGATAATTTTTTTCTGAAAAAATTCTTCAGCTACAGGACTGAGAGTTTTTTTTTCATAGAAAAAATCGCACAGCAGTTTTAAACGTCAGATAATTTTTTTTTTCTACAAATAAAATATCTGCCATAAAAGCAGTTCTCAGACCTGGGGTCGATGATTTTTTATAGAAAAACTAGTAAGGAAAGTAGTAAAGTCGACTATATGATGCCCTTCACCACTTTGGGTATATTCTACATATGTATCCTAACATACGTCGCGTTTTTGATATATACCTATATCTGAACAGATTTCAGGGAAACTTGCCAGAGACTAATTTATATTATTTCAGTACGTTGTGTCAATCGTCCTAGCTATTTATATTTGCACGAAGCTTAGCACACATCATTCTAGACAAAATCCAGTAACCTTTACCAAAATTCGTGCAAATCGAAAGATATAGAGGGACTTTGGTGCCCATTTACCTTAAATCGGACGAAAATATATATGGGAGCTATATCTAAATCTGAACCGAGGCTGACGAATTTTTTCTATAGAAAAAAGCCTGGGGTCTGACGATTTTTTTCTATAGAAAAAAGCCTGGGGTCTGGCGAATTTTTTTTTTTTAGGAAAAAAGCCAGTCCTCAGACCTGGCAGTCCTGCAGTCCTCAGACCTGGGGTCTGATGAATTTTTTTCTATAGAAAAAAATGCAGTCCTCAGACCTGGGGTCTGATGAATTTTTTTCTATGGAAAAAAATGCAGTCCCCAGACCTGGGGTCTGATGAATTTTTTTTCATTTTTTCTATAGAAAAAACAGCAGTCCTCAGACCTGGGGTCTGATGAATTTTTTCTATAGAAAAAAAGCAGTCCTCAGACTTTGGGTCTGATGAATTTTTTTCTATAGAAAAAAATGCAGTCCTCAGACCTGTGGTCTGATGAATTTATCAGACCTGCGGTGTGATGAATTTTTTTCTATAGAAAAAAGCCAGTCCTCAGACTGATGAATGAATTTTTTGATGAATTTTTTTCTATAGAAAAAAGCCAGTCCGCAGACCTGTGGTCTGATGCATTTTTTTCTATAGAAAAAAGCCAGTCCTCAGACCTGGGATCTGATGAATTTTTTCTATAGAAAAAAAGCAGTCCTCAGACTTGGGTCTGATGAATTTTTTTCTATAGAAAAAAATGCAGTCCTCAGACCTGTGGTCTGATGAATTTATCAGACCTGCGGTGTGATGAATTTTTTTCTATAGAAAAAAGCCAGTCCTCAGACTGATGAATGAATTTTTTGATGAATTTTTTTCTATAGAAAAAAGCCAGTCCGCAGACCTGTGGTCTGATGCATTTTTTTCTATAGAAAAAAGCCAGTCCTCAGACCAGTGGTCTGATGACTTTTTTCCTATAGAAAAAAAGCCAGTCCTCAGACCTGGGATCTGATGATTTTTTTCTATAGAAAAAAAGCAGTCCTCAGACTTGGGTCTGATGAATTTTTTTCTATAGAAAAAAATGCAGTCCTCAGACCTGTGGTCTGATGAATTTATCAGACCTGCGGTGTGATGAATTTTTTTCTATAGAAAAAAGCCAGTCCTCAGACTGATGAATGAATTTTTTGATGAATTTTTTTCTATAGAAAAAAGCCAGTCCGCAGACCTGTGGTCTGATGCATTTTTTTCTATAGAAAAAAGCCAGTCCTCAGACCTGGGGTCTGATGAATTTTTTTCTATAGAAAAAAAGCCAGTCCTCAGACGAATTGTTTGGGTCCTAGAAATTTTTCTTTGGAAATAAATTTCAGAATTTTCATTCCACCCCAATCTACATGAGCCCCACAAGAAAAGTGTTAATATTTTACTGCTATATCATTATCACCATCTAATTGACTATTGAAAATCAGTTTATTAGCTTTTATGTTTTACCACAATTATTATACCCAACCCTTACGTCGCCAGTATCATCCCGCCGCCATCACCACCACCATTTCCAATTCCATAGTGGATATGGATGATGCTGAGGAATTTTTTTCTTTGAGTTTAAACTCAAATTGAATTGTAGCGGAATTCAAGCAGCAAAATTTCTTACAGAGAAAGGCAGGCAGGGGAGGAGCGTTCATATTCGAAGTGACGACCAAATACAATTAAGCTTGATTTAGTTAAACAAATTTTTATAAGTAGAGCCTCAGTTGAGTCGGAAACGTTGAGCGGATTAAAAGATTCCCAAGAAATAAGAAAATTTATTTTTTCTTAGAAAAAATTATAAAAAAAGAAAAGAAATTTGAAAATTTTGTGAAGATTTTTGTTCGTTTAATAAAATAGCCATTATTTGAAATAAAAATTGGTGTTGTTGTTGTTGTTGTGAATTTAATCGACACCATTAGGTGACGCAAAAATTTTGTCAATTAAAAACGGAACGCGAAACGAAATTTGTAACCTCTCCCCATGACCAACGAAAATTGATGTGACGACCATTTTGAGAGCATTCATCGGCCGAACATTTCGTTTAATAGCTGTCAAAATTCTAAATTGACATCATTTTTATTCATCAGACCCAACAAAAAGAGGAAAAAAACGTCGATCGATTTCATTGATGAAAATGTTCGCAACAAATGTTTGCCGTGATCTTTAATTATTTCGTGGCTCGGCAAAACAAAAACAACAACCACAAAAAACGGAGGTCGAACGCAAAATAATTCCATTCCGAAATAAATAAAAAACGAAAGAAAAAATTATTAACTACAAAACAAACAAAAATTGTCATTTATATCAACTAACTGGGAGCCCCGCTCCACTTTCCCTCGATCGCCAAAACGAAAATCGAAAATTAATTAACCGCTCACACCGCCACCGTCACCACCACCACCATGGTCTATTTTCGCGACAAAGAACGCAATCGAGAACGCGATCGCGATCAAAATAATGGCGCCGTTGTCGAACGCATCATTCATGACGAGGAGTTCGGTGAAGAAAACGTGGAATTGGTCGATTCCGAATGGGCCGATTTTGAGAAATTCATACGTGAATTGCGCCAACGTCGTTCCAGTACCATTTCAATGGAGGAAGAGCTAAGACATGCCCAACGACCGACACGTGTTAAATCGCAGGCATTTTATCCTTGCCCACCGCCAGCTGAACACAGTCGTGACTCGGATTCATCTTCGGACGATGATGATCCCTTTGGATATATCGATACCCTAGTAAGCTATCACAACACTTTTTATTTTTTGCATGCTTTTTTTAGTCTTTAAAGGAAAAATAGAGAGATTTTCCAAATAACAAAAAAAATTGGTGAAAGGAATAAAACCTCACTTCTGTGACAGATATTTTCTCTCGAAAAAGAAGCCTCAGTCATGAGGCTGAGGAATTTTTTTCTATAGAAAAAAATTCTCAGATTCTAAGGCACAGGGGTCTAAAAAATTGTCAAACTTCATACCAGACCCCAAGCCTGATGATTTTTTTTTCTATAGAAAAAAGGCAGTCCTCAGACCTAGGGTCTGATGAATTTTTTCCTATAGAAAAAAAAAACCAGTCCTCAGACCTTGGGTCTGATGAATTTTTTTCTATAGAAAAAAGGCAGTTTTCAGACCTGAGGTCTGATGAATTTTTTTCTATAGAAAAAAGGCAGTTCTCAGACCTAAGGTGTGATGAATTTTTGTCTATAAAAAAAAGCAGTCTCTAGACCTGGGGTCTGATGAATTTTTTTTATAGAAAAAAGGCAGGCCCCCGTCCTGGGGTCTGATGAAGTTTTTTATAGAAAAAAGCCAGTCCTCAGAGCTGGGGTTTGATGAATTTTTTCTATAGAAAAAAGGTAGTCCTCAGACCTGGGCTCTGATGAATTTTTTTCTATAGAAAAAAGGCAGTCCCCGGACCTGGGGTCTGATTAATTTTTTTCTATAGAAAAAAGCCAGTCCTCAGACCTCGGGTCTGATTAATTTTTTTCTATAGAAAAAAGGCAGTCCCCAGACCTAGGGTCTGGTGAATTTTTTTCTATAGAAAAAAGGCAGTCCCCGGACTTGGGGTCTGATGACTTTTTTTCTATAGATGATGACTTGATGTCGAAAAAAGTTGTTTTCTATTGGAAAAACTGTCTCCACGTCTGCGGTCTGGTAATTGTTTTCCATAAAAAACAGTAGACCTTGGTTCTTGTTTTTTTTTTCACATAGAAAAAACTTCATCAGACCCCAGGTTTTAGGACTGTCTTTAGATAGAAAAAAACTCGTCATACCCCAGGACTGAGAACTGCCTTTTTTCTATACAAAAAAATCATCAGACCCCTGGTCTAAGAAGTGCTGTTTTCTATAGAAAAAAATCTTCAAATACTAAAGAAAAAATCCTCAGTCCTGAGGACTGCTATTTTTTATAGAAAACTGTATATCAGACCCCAGGAATTTTTCTATAGAAAAAATCTCAGTCCTGAAGCTGGTGGAGGATTTTTTTCTATGGAAAATGAATCCTCGGTCCTTAGGCTGAGGATTTTTTCTATAGAAAAATAATCCTTAGTCCTGAGCCTGAAGAATGTTTTTCTATACAAAAAGAATTCTCAGTCCTAAGGCTAAGGAATGATTTTCTATAGAAAATGGATCCTCAGTCCTGAGGCTGAGGAATTTTTTCTATAGAAAATATTTATTACCTCTACTATTATTCTTGGTCGTTTTTGAATTGGGCCAATTTCTCTCACAATACTTCATTTTAGGATCTTAATGTAAAAGGAAAAAATATTCAACATCGAATTTTACTATAGATCTTCAAACAGCATAAATCGGTATACATAATAGGTATCATAAAAATATGGCTATTAAAAAAATCAGGAATTTGTCATATCATCATTGATTTGTGCACCTGAAAGTAAGTTAAAAATTTATATTAGGGGAATGACGACAAGGAATAAAATATTCTATAGAAAATTTCACTATAAGTTTCAGAATAAACTATATCGTTATATACAATATATACCATAATCCTGGTGGATAGGAATTTAGCTCCCATATAAATTTTTGTCCGATTTAAGGTAAATGGTGCACCAAAGTCCCTAAATTTCTTTTATAGCAACTCCTTGGGTTTCAATGAAGCTTGCCCCACGTTGGGCGTCAATAAAGCAACTCGAAACACCAAGATTTAAAATAATGTTGGCTACTCCTTGTTTAGGAACTACTTCCAGCTTATGATCGAGTCCATCAACTTGGGCAAGCGTGGGTAATGATCTTAAGCCTTCAGTGTTCGCTAAACAAATTAGAGCCGGGTGGTCCAGGACTCGGAGTGAAGCTGATTTTATTGAAATTAAATTGAGCTTAGGTACTAATTATGAGAAGCAAGATTCTTATCTAGTATTGGTTGTGTAAAAAGGTAGTGATATCAGTGATGTAGTTTTTGGTACTATTTACAAAATATTTACATAGTTAACCGTTAATTTCAAATGTTTAAAACAGAGTTGCATTTAAATATGGAAATCATAAGATCAATAAAACGTGTTTACACTATTGTAATTAAAATTGAATAAAAATAAAGTTGATCCGCTTCACTTTCGATTTGCACGAAATTTGGCACAACGTACTGAATTAAGCCTAGAATTATGTGTGCTGTTTCGTGAAAATCGGTTCGGATTTAGATATAGCTCCCATATATATTTTCGTCCGATATAATTTAAATGGTGCACCAAAGACCCTATATATTCTTCGATTTGTACGAAATTTGGCATAGCGTACTCAATTAAGCCTAGAATGATATGTGCTAATCTTCGGGAAAATTGGTTCTGATTAAGATATAACTCCCATATATATTTTCGTCCGATTTAAGGTAAATGGTGCACCAAAGTCCCTAAATATCTTTCGATTTGCACGAAATTTGGCACAACGTACTGACTTAAGCCTAGAATGATTTGTACTAAGTTTCGTGAAAATCGGTTAAACAAAAAATGCATTTTTTATGCTTCTTTATGATTATTTTTGATCGTTCTCCACTCCACTTAAAGCAATATCTGTCATAAAACTCAATTTTAGGAACCTGATGTCAAAGAAAAATATATTCTAAATCGAATTTCAATAGGGGTCTCTGAAAGACAGATTTCTGTAATCGAAATATTTGTCATAGAAATAATAGCCAGAACTTAGGCATATATATTTTTTTTTTTTTGATTTATACGATTTTCATAGCGGGAGAAGAATGTTGAGATATTTTTTATGTGTTTACTAATTATTAAAGCGTTTTTTTAATTTTTTTAATAAATTCTGAGCCCTCAAATTTCAATTTCTACGTACTCTCATCGACCCCACTTACTATAACCCACCACGTGCCCTGGCGTTTGTTTCTTTGGATATCACTTGTTCTTACCATTTATTGTTTGTTTTTCTTTTGAAAAATAAAAAAATAGTTTATTCTATGGTAATATTCTTAGAAACCCCGGGAGAAGGGGGTCTTGTTACAAAGAAGGCATAAGGGGGTTGGGGCAATAATCATATCATCCATAAATAAATTTTGTTTATATTTCAATTAACGATATACATTTTTTTACTACAACTATTTAAATTCCATGCTGGTTGACTGGGCAAAGATAACCGGCGTTTTTCTCTGATACATTCCCCCCTTTCTGTTTTCTATCCATTCTCTCATTTCATTCGAAGTGATCTCCCCCTGGCCGTTTATAATCTAAGTAGATTTTTTTTTCATTTGGACTAAATTCACTTAAGAAAAAATGAATTCAATTTAAATATTTTGTTGTGCTGTGGCTAGGAGTATTATCAGTGAGATGCTTAGGGGTTCAATGGCAGGGTTGCCAATACGATTATACCCTTCACCTCACTGTGGTACAGGGTATTATGTCTTTGTGCATATGTTTGTAACATGTAAAAAGAATCGAGATAGACCCATGGTTCCTTTTGAGAATATACATAGAATCCCTTTCTGAGTCAATTTATGCATGTCCGTCTGTCCATGTCAAATTTTAAACGAAGTACAGGTCGCAGTTTTGATTCGATTTGCATGAAATTTGGAACAGCTCATTTATTTGGCCCAAGGACGAACCCTATTGAAAATGGGAAAAATCGGTTCAGATTTCGATATGGCTCCCATATAAATTTTCGGCCGATTTAAGGTAAATGGTGCACCAAAGTGGCTATATATCTTTTGATTTGCACGAAATTTGGCATAGCGTACTGAATTAAATCTAGAATGATGAGTAGTGAGTTTCGGGAAAATCGGTTCAGATTTCGATATAGCTCCCATTTATATTTTCGTCTGATTTTATGTAAATGGTGCACCAAAGTCCCTATATCACTTTCGATTTGCACGAAATGATGTGTGTTAAGTTTCCTGATAATCGGTTCAGATTTCGATATAGCTCCCATATGTATTTTCGTCCGATTTTATGTAAATGGTGCACCAAAGTCCCTATCTATGCTTCGATTTGCACGAAATTTTGCACAGCGTAATGAATACAGTCTAGAATTATGCGTGTGAAGTTTTTTTGAAAATCGGTTCAAATTTATATATAGCTCCCATATATATTCGTCCGATTTTATGTAAATGGTGCACCAAAGTCCCTATATATGCTTCGATTTGCACGAAATTTGGCATAGCGTACTGAATTAAATCTAGAATGATGAGTAGTGAGTTTCGGGAAATTCGGTTCAGATTTCGATATAGCTCCCATATATATTTTCGTCCGATTTCATGTAAATGGTATACAAAGTCCCTATATATGCTTCGATTTGCACTTAACACATCATTAATCCTAGAATGATGTGTTAAGTTTCGTGAAAATCGGTTCAAATTTATATATAGCTCCCATATATATTTTCGTCCGATTTTATGTATATATGTTTCGATTTTCACGAAATTTGGCATAGTGTAATGAATTGAGTCTAGAATGATGAATGTATAGTTTCGGAATAATCGGTTGAGGTTTCGATATAAGTTCCAAATTTACATATATATTCGTCCGATTTTTACATAAATGGTGCACCTTCTAATGTTTTTCCGATTAACAGGAATTTTTGCACAACGTATCAAAATGAGACTTGAATAAAGTTATTGGGTTTTGTTGAAATTGATGTAGATGCTGCCATAGCTTCCATATGTTATTCGAACGGGTGTCTGAAATTAAATTTTTAACAGTGCGGCGACCGTATAGAGGGTATCAATTTTGCTATAAATCGTTTTTCATAAATTTGTTCCATGGTACGTGGTCGACTCCAAATCTGCC